CACACACACACACACACACACACACACACACATACATACACACACACACACACACACACATACATATATACATACACACAAAAACATAAACAGACACCAGGGTATGCTGACCCTGAACGTCATGTGACCTACTGTGGCGACTTAGAAAATTCACGTGTTTGGTTTGGGAGGATTGGGACTCTCTACCTTAGTAGAACTTTCCTACATAGAACATGTGAGGCAGCCTGGTGGAATCAGGCTCTCGCCAAAATAATCAAAGTGAGGAAACTTGCTTTCTTCCAACAGGTTTTGGAATTTTTATCAAATTTTTGTTTTTTGGCTCAACACCTTTCACGCTCATTAAAGAACTCATTTCAGTGTGGACTTTTTCTGAAAAACATTGATTAAAGGCACAGAAAATATAAATTTGAAGTTACCACGGATACTTAAGCTAAGGAAAAAACTAATCTTTGGCGGACATTTTCTCCCTAATTTTACTTCTGAAAACAGATGACCCCCACCTCCTTCATTCGCAAATATCTTAACTTGTATTCAAGATAAATGGATATTTTTCCATCCAAATAAAGACGAGTGAACAAGCTTTATGATGATACCAATAACTCTACATGCCCAAAAATTGACGAGAGCCTGATTCCACCACGCTGCCTCACAAATGTCTTCCCTTCAATCGATAATAAGTCCAACAGAATTTTACAAAAATGTAGGCCTATGCACTGCTTGTGAGCTATTAACAGCCCGAACACACTTTATTAAAGCGATTTCTGTAGAGCAACTGGTTTGTACCTATGTGACCGTGTTCTTAATTCTTTGTAGAGACCCTTTGTAGAGACCTCAGCCACATTCCAATTTCCAAGGTAGGCCTACTGTAGTATAGTTTTATACTGACTAGAGTATAATCTACTGTAGTAGAGTTTTATACTGACTAGAGTATAATCTACTGTAGTATAGTTTTATACTGACTAGAGTATAATCTACTGTAGTAGAGTTTTATACTGACTAGAGTATAATCTACTGTGGTATAGTTTTATACTGACTAGAGTATAATCAGCTTCGAAAGAAATCAATTTTGAATCTTGCCCGGTTGACCACCGGAAGCCTACTCTTGTTGATTTGTGTACCATCAAGGGATCTTTGACGTACACAACTTGCACATAGATCTAGGCCCTCCGATATTTTTCGCCCAGCCTAATCCGAGAATGCTTTCTGTTTGATCTTACCTGCCCTAAGATGAGAAGTGTGGCTGAAAGACAATAGTGAGAAAGAGTCTGGTTCTTGTCTCAGAATATGTCCAATCCATCTCCACCTTCTTCTTTTTATTATGGTGGAAAGAGCCAGTGGGAACAGTAAAAGAGTCAGGAGTAAAGGAAAGAGGAACACAGAGGGGGTAGGGGAAGAGGGGAGGGATGGGGGAGCGGTTATAAAGTGAAGATGAAAGATAGACAGAAAACGAGACATCAGAACAGGAAAGGACTTGAATGGAGAAAATGTCAGAAGAAAATGTTACGTTGCTGTCTCTAGTATATTTCTGCACTGACTTGAGAATTTCATTTTTGATAGGAACTTCTTTGAAATTATGCCCGGGTGACGGCCGGTTGGGTACTACCAAGGGATACTTAATGTGCTTGACTTGCACGCAGGACCTCCGAGATTGTTCGCCCTTATCCGGACCTTTTCAATGAGAGGCGAGCACTGCACCTCTAGACCACGAGAGCCTCTAGAGTGATGGAAACTTATCAGCTGCGACTTTCTTGTAGATAAGGAAGTAGTGACTGACCTTTTATTGATGGAAAGGGCGTGATTTATAAATTAACCCTATCCTTACGTCGTGTTTTACTATCGTATCCATACGACGTGGGGAACTCTGTGTCACCACTTTCCAAAGAGGAAATTTTACTCGTTAATCCGATCCGTACGCTTTGCGTAGCAGTCTGTCAAAATGATTTTTTGAGAAATACAGAACGTTTCAAAGCGATCTTCGTACTAGAAGTATTCTAAAATGTGAAGAATACAACCCTGGGGGTACACAATGACCCCAGGGCGTACGGATAGGGTTAAATGACAACTTTAAACTCAAAGCAAACAGATTACCAATGAGGACTGTGCCTACGAGTATCAAACTCCACGTCGTTTCGTCTGGAGAACCTCAATAGTTATGTCCAGTTGTACAGATGTTGTACAGATGTTGTACAGATGTTGTACAGATGTTGTACAGATGTTGTACAGATGTTGTACAGATGTTGTACAGATGTTGTACAGATGTTGTACAGTTGTACAGTTGTTGTACAGATGTTGTACAGATGTTGTACAGATGTACACAGACGTCTGTGGTTTAGTGGTTAGGCGGTCCGCTGTCGCACACAGGAGACCCAAGTTCGATTCCCGAGAAGGAAGAATTTTTCTTCTCAAGTATCCTAGCATGTCTTTCTACAGGGACGTTGTTTGTACTAGGGCTGGATCCTGCTCGCCAAGTCTGAGAGTGACGATTCGCGATTCAGTCGGCTTCAAAGAATCGCGAGTACGTGATCGCTCGTGGAATTGTGGCGGAGCACTGACTGAAACGGAACAGTGTCATATCAACGCCACTAGGCGAGCGCGAGTCCCACTCTTGTTGTTCCGCCATCCTCTCCGCCCCACACCCTTTGTTGCTCTTCTCTGTCAACTGACCTCAATTAGTGAACCCCATAAATCCCCCCCCCATGATTCGCTAAAACAATGGCTCCATAAAATTCCTTATGTCTATTGGTTGGACCCCGTTCATTTTGTTTTAATATGGTGGTTGGACTATACCATCTTTTGTAAAATAAGGGGAGCCGTGCTAAGTGTTCCGTTCCGTTCTTGCGCTCGTGACTCGACTCAGCAGTAGGTTAAACAAGCCACAAGGTGGTGACAGCGACAGGGGAGGGAATCGGGAATCGTTTGGCGATACTGTTCCGCGTTCCGCTGAAGTGAATCGTGAATCGCGTTCCGCAGGCAAGAGTGGCGATTCAGTTCCGTTCTCGCGCTCGCGACCCAGCCCTAGTTTGTACCCTTCTCAGTCCCTGTTGGGGCTGGCAGGCAGGGTCGGGAAGCCGCCTCCGATCGCTCGACTCGATCGCCTGAAACTGAAACTGAAACTGAGGACAAACATGTTTGTTTTTTGAGGCCACCGAGTCTGGCGATCGGCTCGATCGGCCGATCCCATCCGTAGTGGGCACCACGTATAGATGACCTGGATTGCACTGATGAGGACGTAAAGACATCTACATTAAAAACTATTTTTAGAATTTCATCTATGGTCACAAAGGTCAAAGTTGGCCAATCCATAACGTCCAAGACAGTCATATTATAGACGCCAACCAGATGTCCAGTTTGACCAGCGTGCAAGGTACATCCAATGGCCGGGTGTCTGGTATGGTTTACTCCTTCTTTCATATCAAACATCTATCGTCTTTATCTCTCCTTCTTTTTAAAGTTTGTTACTCTCTTGTAACACCTCTAATCTTCGGCACTTACATGACCATTGTGTTGCAAGTGCCGTAAAACGCTTACTAAAACAGGTACATCCAGACATTCGGACCCCGCCAAATTCTGTAGACCCGATAAGACTACACCAAAACTTCGCTGCCACACGCGGGAGACCTGAGTTCGATTCTCGGGCGGGAAGAAAATGTTTATCCAGTGTCTCGGTCGTTCCGGGGGGATGTAAACCTAAACAGTAACATATCCCTCTCGGCCAAGGACCTTACAATAATTGACATTTCTCAGCCAGGGTTGGTTTCAACAGACAGGGTCGGATGCCTGCCTTTTAAAAGATTCAACCAAAAAAGGTACACCACGGGAAATATTCAGGGGGAAAAATATATACTTCAATGTAGGCCTATTGGAAATAGATCTGACATAGATTACTTTTAGCAGTAACGCATTTTTGAAACACGCTGTCAATCATTTCGTAGGTACCCCCCCCCCCTTTTTGGGGGGTCAAATTACATACACATTTTGGAAGTAAAGAAAACGTTTGCTTAGTTGATCTATTGATTTTTAACCTGACAGCCAAAACAATCTAGTAGATCTGGTCCGCTAACTAGTTCAACCCTTAGGTCACACTGAACTTTCGTCGAGTCAAAAACACACGTTTCGGTTTATTTCTAGCTCCGACGTTTTCCCAAAGATCGATACCTAGTGACGTAGCCCTTCACGCGATGTGCGGCGAAGCGGCGGACAAAAGCCTAAAGAGGAAGTGGAATATCTTGGTAGTAAAGAATCTTTGGTTTTCCCTTTGGCACAGAAGTTTTCGATCCCAGGATGCAACATCTGCGTGTTTTGCCACCCGCCCGCACACAGCACATCTCCGGGTTTTCGTGACGTAAGCTACTGTCACTCGAAAAAGGGGAAGAATAACGGAAATTCTTCAGCTTTGACACCGATTCAACTGATATACTGAGCAGGTAAGAATATATATTTCATTCACTGGTGTTTTGTTTTGAACTTGTACAGCCTAATACGATCGTAAGTCGTAATATCAGCTGCTCAATTAGTTAGTCCAAGTCTAGTATACTGGCATTATATAATCTAGGCCTACAAACTAAAATTAGGATTAGGAAACATTACTTGGGCAGGCTTTAATTATTGTTTTTCGAACAGCATTGGTAATATTCAGTTGTTAATTTCATGAGCTGAATGTTGGAATTACTTATTTAGTTTAGGTAAAACTGCTGATAGAGCAAGTTTTGAAATGGAGTTGTGTACATTTTTGGAACGAAAGGTCACGATGCGAAAGCTGAGACTGAATTTGTGGACCTCGACTTGCAAAGCCACACATGAGCTTTGACATTTTATCGATCGACTCATGCCTAGTAGAAGAGACAAGGTTTTAACCCCATAATGCCACATTCCCACACTTTGACAGTCTTAGTGGCCGTACATAATCTCTTTTCTCTATGACTTGACTATGACTTAGTTTGGGGCTATAGATGATTGTCGCCACTTTCTATGCCAGTTTGAAGTTTTCAGTTTTCCTACAATTGTTTTCGGATAATAGATAAAATAAAAGCTGAAAATGTTCAGTTCCGGACTTTTTGTTTGTTTTTATAAAGTGTTTTACCGCGTTCGCAACTGCATAAGGTCATATGAGCGCGCGGGACACACCTAATATTTTCAGTTGGTAGGAAATTTTGAATTTTGCCCGGGTGGCGGCCGAAGCCTACTC